CCAATTACATTCACATCCTGTAAATAGTTCCTGAGTATATACAACGTTATAACATGTTCAAAGAATTACAATACATTACTCATCACACTTCCGAATATGTTTTCAGTATAGAGATAACAGACTTGGCGTAAGCTTAATAGAAACATTAGGAAGCAATCTGAACTATTGGAGCGTTAAGAAAGAGAAGAAAGAAAAGGAAACTTCTGTTATCAACTTACAATTCGACCATTTGGAAGATGTGATGTGAAATATTAGAGCTAGTGGAGAAGAAATAAGTAAATAAGTATGAGATTTTGTGGAACTAGTCATTTCGTTAATCTTATATCCATTTGTGGTATTGAGACCATTCAGATGAGATAAATTGTTTTTGAGACAGATAATCCATCACTGGGTACCATTTTTCTATGAAATTAGACTTTGTTGGGTTTTGTGACATGTAATTTAGTTTGTTGGAGACTGCATCCATTAAGTAATGAGTCCAAAGTTTCTTGTACCATATTTCTACTGTGGGTGCCCCTTTCTCCTTCCAGTGCGATGCTATTGTTCTTTTGGCCGCATCTAGAAGGACTTCTATTGTGCGTCTATGTACTCTGGAATTCAGATTTTCGGGCCAGGTATTCAAAAACAAAATTTCCGGTTTTAGTGGAATTTGGACTGAGGTTATTTCTTGAATTATGTTTAGTATTTCTTGCCAGAATTTCTTAATTTTATCACACTGCCACCAACAATGCGCATAACTTCCTATTTACTGTAGAACATCTTCTTTTACATCAATGGAGTATAGATATACCAGTAGAGAGTACAATACAGCAAATTGCTATTCTTTTAGCAGCGGCAAAAAATGCTGTTGCTCTAAAGTGGAAAAGTAAACAGAGACCAAATAAACAGAACTGGCATGCTAAGCTATGGAATATGTATGTAATGGCAAAAATTACAAAGAGTGTTAATGATTCCTGCTCTCAAAGAACACGATCTAATTTTTCTGTGACGTGGTCTCCTATATTACAGTATTTGATGCAACAGAAAGAAATCCCTGATATTATAGATTCATTACATTTATGGTGAAATAATTACTAATGCACCAAATGATATATAAGATATATATGACCTATGTGGTGATCTGCTATAGTTGGAACTGTATATTTTAGTATTATTGAGAGTGATGTCTTTGTAAATTTGTAATTGATGTGTATGTAAACTTGATGGGAAATCCAATAAAATTATTATTAAAAAAAAATATGTTATCACATTGTAATGACTAGTGAGCCTCCACAGTAATTCACAGACACAATGAGGGAACCTTCTTTTTTGAACACGTTTAGGACTGGAAAACACAGTGTTGTGAAACAGCACTGAAACATCACATTTGGAAAGTATGTTCAGCTGGAAGAATACCATTTATTTGCATATTATGTACGATTAAAAGAATGGACAATTGTACAAATATGGAGGCTGACTTTCATCATCATAGTCTGCCAAAATTCTGACATGAGATTAGCAGCAAGGGGGTGCTGCTGTTCTGTGCATCGATCACTCTCATACTTTTAGTGAGCTTTATGCTGGGGGGGGGGATCAAAACACTAATTCAAAAACTTTCAGTGCTGTCAGCGAAGAGAGGTTAAGCTGAGACATTTAATTTGTCTGTCCTAGTGCCATGAATCTCAAACATTTAAAACTGACATCCTTTCAGAAGAATTTAGAAATCAGAAACCTAAAAGGTAACATGAATGACTCTTTCTTTTAGCCTTCTGAATTTGGGGGCTTTAGACACAGTGGATTCATTTTCTAATGGCAGAATGGAGATTTCCTGCCTTCCCCTTCTCACTGCAGCTTCCTGATCAGCACAAAATGCCGCTCCTCAGGCACAGTTGAGTGTTTTTCCCACATCTTGTCTGAAGAACCCAGATATGCTGCTACAACGGGTCGATATCACTGCATCCTTTTTCTCAAGAATTTGAGCCCATATTCCCATTGACTCGCAGCTGACTTTGCTCTTCGAATATTATGTAGAAACCTGGAAGGTCCATTACCAGATTTAGTCTAATTTGGCTCTCCATAATTCTGTTTTTCCACTTGGGGTTCTCAGTGTTCTCCCATCCAGGGCACTGACCAAGGCCACATCTATTTAGCTAAGCAACTCCTTCACTAGGTTGCATTTCTCATTTCTGAGCCTGTTTAGGAGAAACGTGTCTGAGAAGAATAGGTGTGTGAGGGACGTCTGCCTGCCACTTCTCCACTTCAAGCCCTCCACAGCCCTTTACAACTGTTCAGTGCTAACCTATGTTCAAGGACACAGGTCTTCCACCAAATTTGTACTTTTGCCTTTAGGTGATCTATACTGAGCTGTCATCGATAATCTTGAGACAGTCTAAGAGCTAATTCACAGTCTCATGTAATTATGCCATTTTCTTTTTTCCCTCTCACCTTTTCCCAATCCATTTTTTCGACATCAACAAGGATTCTCATGAGCTCAGGAATTGTGCTCTCAGCAATAAAAGAAGCGGGAGCCCCACCAGCACCACAACCCCATCCCTGGGGTCAGGCGGATGGCCTTCTAGAGGCTAACTTTAACACAAGACTATATTGGGAAACAACATTCATGTTGGAAGTGTCATCTTCGACTGAGAAGAGCAACAGTCCTTTCATTGTTATCTTCATGGTCCCAAGTTGCACCTTCTGATGCAACTTCAATGTCCTGTGTTTGTGTGTGTGTGTTAAGTGCCATAAAGTCACTTATGGTGACCCTAAGAATTAATGTTCTCCAAAACGTCCTGTCGTTAACAGCCTTGCTCAGGTCTTACATACTGAGGGCCTTTGTAGCTTCCTTGGTTGAGTCAATCCATCTCATTGTTGGGTCTTCCTCTTTTCCTGCTGCCTTCAACTCTTCCTAGTATTATTGTCTTCTCCAAGGACTCTTGGGCTTCTCATAATGGGACCAAAGTATGATAGCTTCGATCCTAAGAAGCATCAAAGCTAAAGCCAACTGTCCTTTTTGCCCTTCCCTTGTAAAGCCTTAAGAGGAAGCTTGCTTATCCTTCATCTCCCCAGGGCTGTGTCCCTAATTCTCTCCTCTCGTACAAAAGAGAAGGATTCTGTCAGCGGATTTTCCTATTGGCTGAAGCCTCTTGTCACTCACCTCCACAATGACATCAGAGAGTCCAGGGTTGCACAGCAGAAGCCAGCGCCTAGGAGTGATGCCGTTAGTCTTGTTCTGAAACTTCTCTGGCTCCAGCTCATAGAAATCTTTGAACCTGAAATGCATGGGGTTAACAAGACAGCAGAAATCAAATGGAGAAGCTTTTCCTGTACTCCCATCATTTCATGCACGAGCCTGTGTTCCTTGCACACATACATGCTAAACTTCCTTGCAGACAGTTAAACGTCACATCAGGCAGATCTTATACTTGACATAGTAGTTTTCTATACATGTGAAGCTTTTGTCATGGGGATGAGTCAAACATGAAGCCCTCCACTGGAGCGGTACAGTCCCTGAAGTGGTACAGCCCTTTTTGATCCTGTTGATTCCGAACACTGGTCCTTTGTTTTACCAATGATCTGCAAGTGTTATCAAAGCTATGTTTAAAAGCTTCCCCATTACCCCCAAGATTACAAGTTCACTCAAAATGAATGAGAGGTCGTTTGTTATTTTTGAGTGATACCATCCATATTTCTTTGTCTTCTCATTTCCAAACCGTGTTTATATTTTCTAGTCCGAGACAGAAAGACGTGAGCATTCAAAATGAAACAGATTTCATAACCATGCATGAGAGAGAAACAAGCTTTCTTCCCAGATCCCTGGAGAGATACGACAGTCCCAGTCTGCTTTCTGCTTATACAGCCCCAAGCCGAGAGCACACAATAGACAAGCAAAGGAAAAACAAGCAGAACTCACACAGAGTTCTTTACAATTTCCGAGTGGATCCTGGCAACACCGTTGACTGCGAGAGCACCAATGACACACAGATGGGCCATGTTGATCCTCTTGCAGTCGCCCTCCTCAATCACAGACATCCTTCGGAGGCGGTCGACATCTCCCGGGTAAAGGGCTGCCACATGCTGTCGGGGTGCAAAGCGGAATATTGACAACGAGGACTTAATTATCTTATATTACATTGGATCCTTGGATGTAGAAGAATGTGAAAAAGAAAAGCAGTTGCCTTGAGGATCTGCATTCATTTTGCCATTCCCCACACCTTTTAAGCAACGACCACCCCACACAAGGAACCAGGAGTTCCACACATGAAGCTCCCAGCAGTTTTATTCTTTTAAACAGCTGGCCTGTCAGGCCACAGTTGAGAACAAGAAGTATGGGGTGGTGGTGAGCCTTCTCACTCAGCATTTTCCTGAATAGAAAAGACCCCACAGAGAGGCCGTGGACAGCGGGCAGGGCGGCATACAGGTTTAGTACCAGAAACTGTATCAGGATCTATATGTTTGTGCAGCTCACATGGGGCATTTTGGTAAAGGAAACGGTGGGAGGAGAGGGTTAATCCCCTTCTCCCATATCATGGTCCAAATCCAAATCATAACCCTATACACCAACTATTTAAAGGGGGGGAATCCTTTGGGAGCTCCATACATGGAACTCCTAATTCCTAGTTTGGAATGAACCTGTGGATATGGTGAAGGGTGCTAGAAACTGGCACTGCTATGATTATGATGGTTTGGTGGGTATATCTATTTGTGACAAATTTGTGCTTGTCACAAACACAAACTGGTTTTAGCAGAATTTATATCATACATGTAAAATGGTTTTATACTCGTTTAACTGTCATCGCTCACCCCAAACAATCCTAGGAATTATACTTTGGTGAAGGCTAGGATCACTAACCTTCTGGTGGGACTTCTTCCAGAATTGCATCTCATCTCCAGGCCACAAAGATCAGATTTTGGAAAGTGAACTGTATGGCATCACATTCCTGCCGAATCCCTTCCCAAACTCCGCCCTCCCAAAGCAGCATCTTCAAATGTCCAGGAACTTCCCAAGCCAGAGTTGGTAACCCCAATGAGGGCACCAAGGATTCTTTAGAGATCTGTAGCTCTCCATCATAGAACAACAGTTCCCAAGGGTGCTTGAATTATTGTTATTAATCTGTAACACAGATATGCCCTATGATTCAAAGACAAATCTGCAACTATTTTTTAAGGAGTAATAAGCTCTTCTCATGTGGTAAAACTGCAGATTTCAGATCCCTCAAAATGCATTAAGGACGGATTACTGGTATTAACTTATGGAAGTAATTCATCCTGGTAAACAGTAAAAATGGAAGCCATCCAAGCTAACCACATAATGCATCCAGGCCAACAGTAGCACTTGTTCCCAGCAAAGTCAAGGGACTATCCAAATGAAGGTGAGAGTGATGCCTGACATGGAATGTTTGACTACTCCCAGTGACATCAGACTAACCAGGAACTTCTAAGCTCCAACTGGTTAGATCATTCTTGCATAGGACCCTGGTGCCTTCATCTCTGTGACAACAGGGCATTTTAGTGGAGAATGGAGGTGATGGCCTGTTTTCTGCTATGCCACAGCACCACCACTGAAGATGGCAAGAAGGTGGCACTGCAAGCAACTACCCATTTTATTTATTTAGACCATTTAACCTTTCCATCTAATGGGTCCTCAAGAAGACTAGCAAGTATGTTCAAGTATAAACCAATTCAGATAAAAACCATGCTAAAGCATCTAAGAAAAATAAATAAGCTTGGAACTATACACAACATGCTGTCCCCTATTTCAGTTCCACCTGAAGGCCTTGCAAAAAAGTAACTTAGCAGGGACCAGGTGACACAAAGGACCAATAGAATTCCACCTGGACCTATAAAGTTGTTGGCTGTGCCCTGGTTCCTCTGTCTGCGTATTCAGGCACAGGTTAAGCTATTCTTAAACAACCAACCCCTGCTTGCTTCCAGTCTTATCAATCCTCTTAATTCCTCCAGTTTCTCCGATTCGGACTCCTTACATCAAGATGTTTTTGGTTGATCGCATAAATGATCTCCAGGTGCCTTGGCAGGAGTTTCTCAAACAAAGATACAGGCCAGCGTTCCAGTGCTTCAGGCAGCACTGTATGGTTGGTATATGCGCAGGTTCGTTTTGTTATTTCCCAGGCCTAAGGCAAAAACATGTGTGGGTTAATATGAGTAAAAGAGATCACAGCAGGCTGAATCTGATGTCTCTAGTGATTTATCCACAACAATATCCTTTGTTGGACAAGCACCGTAAGTCAGTCTTGATCTACTGCGTGTCCAGTGCAACCACGTCTTGATCTACTGCGTGTCCAGTGCAAGCACGTCATGATTCAGTGTTCCCTCTAAACTGAGTTAGTGTGAGTTAGCTTACAGTTTTTTAGCCTCCGGCTCACAGGGTTTTGTCTTAGCTCAGGAAGGATGGCTCCAGAGCAAACAAATTTGTGCAGTAGCCAAATCACTTGCTCACAACTTTAATGCCAGTAGCTCAGAAAGTAGAATTTTTGCTCATAAGACTCCACAGCTTAGAGGGAGCATTGTTCAGGAGTACCAGCAGATATGAATAAGCAGCTGTTCACTTGTGGCATGGCACAGGCACAATAACAGTCTCTATGTACAAACCTAAATAGCTTTTTAAAAACCTCCTCTGCTATAATCAGGGCCATAAATGGATTTCCCAAATAATATGAATAGTCACTATAAGAAGTATGGTTCAGATTGGGGATCTGCTACAATTGAGAGGAGGATTTAACCCTCTCTCTGCATGCTGGTATCCGTCTTCATATGACCCCCTCCAGTGGCTGCTATTTGAGTACATATAATATATAGGTAATCTCTTTAGTTTTCCCAGTGGGGAAAATAGCCACCATGGTGGAGGATTGCATGAAGTTGGGAAAACAGCACAAGGGAGGAGAGTGTCCAGCCAGTTGGCTCCTCTACAGGTGGACTGCTTGATGTAGAAACCTGGAAGGTCCATTACCAGATTTAGTCTAATTTGGCTCTCCATAATTCTGTTTTTCCACTTGGGGTTCTCAGTGCTCTCCCATCCAGGGCACTGACCAAGGCCACATCTATTTAGCTAAGCAACTCCTTCACTAGGTTGCATTTCTCATTTCTGAGCCTGTTTAGGAGAAACGTGTCTGAGAAGAATAGGTGTGTGAGGGACGTCTGCCTGCCACTTCTCCACTTCAAGCCCTCCACAGCCCTTTACAACTGTTCAGTGCTAACCCATGTTCAAGGACACAGGTCTTCCACCAAATTTGTACTTTTGCCTTTAGGTGATCTATACTGAGCTGTCATCGATAATCTTGAGACAGTCTAAGAGCTAATTCACAGTCTCATGTAATTATGCCATTTTCTTTTTTCCCTCTCACCTTTTCCCAATCCATTTTTTCGACATCAACAAGGATTCTCATGAGCTCAGGAATAGCAAGGGCAGGATGGGTGTCATTTAGCTGAATGGCAACCTGCAAAACAGATAATCTCTTAGTGTGAAACTCTCCCACACCCCCATGACATAGAAGCAGCACAATTCATGGGAGCTATGGACCCTGGATACCATAAGTCCAAATCAACCTCAACTCATCCCCCATCTTCTGTTTCTTTACAGATTCATCCTCTTCCCCTCCTAGTTTTCCAGGGGTGCCATCCCTTTCCCACAGATCTGTACAGAAAAAAATGAAAACACTCCCTCCAAACATTCCAAATTATGTAAAAGACTCTTTTCAAAAATAAGATGCACAACCATGCAAATTGGCTCCAGTCCAGCAAACACTTTCCATGAATGGAAGGGTCCCCCTCCCAAATTTCCTCCTCCCTACTGCAGACCTCTGACCCATCCCCAGGAGCAGCATTCTGGGCTGCAGCAGGAGGGGAGAAGAGGGGAAGCCCCACTCCACTGATGCAAATCCCTCCTATCAGCTGGATCCAAGCCCTTTTATGAAGCATAAAGATTAAAAGGAGCAAAAACTAAGTTTACCCAATTTTCATTACTGATACCAATTGTAGAATGTGGGAGCGAAGACCCTAGCATTTAGGAGTACACAGCACAGAAGTACAAAACGCATTGGTATAATTATTAAACTCATAGGGTTTTTTGTGGTGAACAAGTAAAAAAACAGCACAGTATTTTGTAAACTGATTTGGCAGTATAAATGATTATTTAACAACAATGTATATTATTAAGGTACATCAATACGGATGCATCAAGACTAATGTAATTATGATTATTTCTAGTTATTACAATAATAATAATGGTCACTGTTCTGCTTTCTAGAATTACTTGGAAGCTCCACTGCCACTCCAAAATGCTAGTTAATTTTTGAGGAATGCAGAAAATTGGTAACAGAGAACTCTGTAACCATTTGGTTCATCCCTAGTATTCACCTTGTCAGGAAAAGTTTCAAAACAGGTTCTGACGGGGTCCCGACAACCAAATTTGGAAGACTTGAATCGCCGTATGATATCCTGTAGAGTGGCTGCTACCACAAAGTACTCCTGTTTCAAACGCAGCTCTTTTCCTTCAAAGAACTTAGAAACATGGAAAGAAATGTCACTGTTGTGAGAGCCTGTAAAAGTCTCTGCAGCATCCAATGCAATGAAGGCAGTACCCAATGGACTGCAAAATTATTGAGCACTTAGAGCACCATGGTGCTTTCCAAAATAAACTATAGGAGACTATCCATAATTGTATAATCTACAAACTATTACAGAGCCATCGTAGTGTAGTAGTTAGAGCATTATGAGGATCTGGCAGATCTGGGTTCAGATCCACATTCTGCCATGAAATTCATGCCCATCACTCTTTCTCAACCTAGCCTACCTCACAGGGTTGCAATGGGGATAAAATGCATAGGAAGAACCATGTAGACTGCCCTGAGCTCCTTGGAGGAATGGTGGCATAAAGATGTACTAATAGACAGAAGAAATGGCACTTCGGGCATAAACACTTGTAAAATCACAATGGTTCTCTCCCATCTTTGATATACAAAAGTTATCTGAAATAGGCATGTTTAATCCTCAGAAATGAAAGAATACCATTGTAATTCTTTTTTAAAGTTTCTGCAAAGTCAGAGAATAAATGTTCACTCTTATCAATGGATAAGCAGAACAGAATCTTAGGAAAGTAAAAATTTGCTTAACCCATTCAGGAAATCACCAGGAAACCAATGGGACTTATTTAAAGCATGCTTACTGTTCTCTGAACTGTACCCAAAGGCCCCAATCCAGATAAAGTCAGCCATGCTTACTTCCATTGAAATTAATTAAACAAGATAATTAGTTTAGGTTCAAGGAAAAGAGATTATAGATTAAGAGGAAAGAAAAATGTAACACAAGCAAAGAAAAGTGAAGCAGAAGAAACCAGTTACTAGGAAGTTTAGCTGTGTGTTTGCAATGCAGTACACACTTGTATACATTACAACCAGTGTTCCCTCTAAGCTGAATTAGTGTGAGCTAGTTAGCCTCCAGCTCACACATTTTCATCTTAGCTCAGGGAGGATGGCTCCAGAGCAAACTAATTTATGTAGTAGCCAAATCACTCGCTCACAACTCTAATGCCAGTAGCTCACAAAGTAGAGTTTTAAGACTCCACAGCTCAGAGGGAGCACTGATCACAACTGCCCATTTATCCATAAATCAAAACATTTTAAAGACTCATCTATGACGGTAACAAACCAACAAGATAAAACCAGTTCAGCCCTGACCTGGGTGGCCCCAGGCAAGCCCGATCTCATCAGATCTCAGAAGCTAAGCAGGGCTGACTCTGGCAAGTACTTGGATGGGAGACCTCCAAGGAAGACCAGGGCTGTGACACAAAGGCAGGCAACAGTAAGCCACTTCCTTGAAACGTCCAAGACCCACTAGGGGTTGCCAGAAGTCAACCATGACTTCCAACCAGACACACACATGCACACAAATACTCACCCGTCCCCCCCCAAAAAATAAAAATCAGGTCAGTTAATCAGAAGGGTTCAGAAGAAGAAGAGATTGGATTTATACCCCTCCCTTCACTACCCAAAGGTGTCTCAGAGTGGCTTACAAACTCCTTCCCCTTCCCCTCCCCACAGCAGACACCCTGTGAGGTAGGTGGGACTGAGAGAGCTCTGACAGAAACTGCTCTTTTTCAAGAACAGCTCTTATCAGAACTATGGCTTGCCCAAGGTCATCCAGCCAGGTGCAAGTGGAGGAGTGGGGAATCAAACCCGGTTTTCCCAGATTAGAGTCCACGCACTTAACCACTACACCAAACTGGCTTTAGTTCAATATATTTGCTTTAAAAAAGTATAATTTTTTAATATAATGAAAGTAATCAATGCACACACAGATATATTTCTATTGTATTCCCTAGAACAGCCTCTCAGTTAACCAACACAGCAGAATAGGAAAACCTCTCTATACATGTATAGGACTTATACTATAATGAACGTAAATTAAATGGTCATCTCTGCAGGAAACAGCAATAGGCTGCATATGCTTAGCAGAAGAGACTAAAAGTGACATAAAACATTAACTTACATTATCGTTTGGATACAGTACTCTGGAGATGTTTTCTGCCAAGTTTCTGTCCAACACAGCCTGGATATAATCACCGACATTAACTAGATCAAGAGAAAGAACACATATCAACAGAACAGCCAAACCAGCTCCATAAATGTAAAACGTCGGTAATTCTATATTTAATCTACTGTATTACCTAGAATATCCTCTCAGTCAAGCACCACTCTCATTTTTGCAACGTAGCTATGCAAGTCTGCTGCAGCCAACTCAACTGAATCCTGCAGCACTAATGGATTTATGCTGGCATAAATTTTCATGAGTCAGAGCTCATTAATCTGATCAAGCAAGCTCTAATTCATAACAAGTTATGCCACGATAAATTCATTAAGCCTTTAAACATGCTACAAGACTTTCTCTCATTTAGCAGAGTCTTCCAAACAAACAGCCCCTCTTCTCCTTGTTGTTTCTACAGAAAATTTTGCTTTGGGTAGGTTGGGTGAGGGGAATCAACCTATGCTGAATACATTTGAGAAGTCTAAATAATAAACTAAGACTTGCATTAATGGCAAAAGGAAAAACCAACACATTGTATTTAGTTCAAAGAGCCCTAGAGCAACTCAAGACTCTGTCCTCATCTTAGCCACCATCTTGGGGAAACACCAGACATTGGCTGTTTTGAGGACACATTGCCTAGTGAAGAAATGGTGAACACAGCACCATCCCAACACAGCCATTCAGAATGTAGGTGGTGGAGAAGGAAACTGCTTGCACCTATCCATTGTACACATAAGGTTCTGTGTCCCACACTCCTGCTGCAGTTAGCAGATTAATATGGAAGAAAACCTCAAGACAGAAATGGTGGGTAAGGCCTATCTGTTGCAGACAACTTGGGGCCAATCCAACAGTTTCTGCTTCTGTGCATGCTGGAACATTAAGCAATGCTTCAGGAGGACAGACATTAAGTGGCTTTTATCCTACCCAGCCTCTGAAATCCAGCCAAACTTCCAACTTGCTGAACATTAAGAAATCCAGTTTTGTATTTTCCTCTAGCAATAGGCAACCCAGACGCATCCCCATAATAAAAATAAAGAACAAGAGAGCAGGTTCCAGAAGGAGACTGCACTTACATTCTTCAAGGTTGAAGTCGTTGGGAGCTTTGGCAGACCACAGCCTCATAGTGTTGACTGTATTGTTCTTGTAACCTGGAACAGGAGTGTCGTAAGGCATGGCAAGCACTACCTAGAAGAAGGGAAAGCGCATCAGATGAAAACTAGGAAAAAGAGTGTTTTGTGAAGCCTATTTGGACTTGCCAGAAGGTAAAGAAAAGTGGTACAGAAACATTTTAATGAATAATAAATTTAACGAATGCATCACCTATAGAAGGTTGCCCTTCTCTAGGATTGGCGGTTCTAACCTGGAAGTGAAGCTCTGTTGTCTCCAGCACCTCATTGCTGCTAGTCTGGCAACACTGCCTTCCCCCTCCCACAAGTTCCATGTGATCCCACTGGTGGGTGACCAACCCATTCTTTGGAGGCCTGTGAGGTAATGGAGCCCCTCATAGACAAAAAAGGTGAGGCACCGACAATGAAAAAAAGAGCATGCAGAGAATGTATTTCAGTAGCTTATGCACCAGTTTGGAAATTAACTTTGAATTCAAAAAAACCAAAGTTAAAATGGCTACACGTACCAGCAAGCCATACCCTGTACCCACTGGAATCAAATAAATATCCTGGAGGATGAAGACAAAAATGCCTCCATACCCTGGCCAGAAATAAGTGTGTGCCCCCTCCCTTTTTAACATCCCATGTGATGACGAATTCAAAAGATTGTGTGATGTGTTGTGTTTTGGTTAGTCTTAATAAAAGGCATTATATGGCTTTTGGATTTTCCTATGGACCAACATGGCCACCCATTATTTTGTCTGCATCTCAAGATGTACTTCAAAGGCATAAATGGAACATGACACAGGCTGCTAAAATCACACCAGTGAAAGCAGTCTTGAGAAAACTGGGCAACATGCCCTAGTTAATACTTCTCACGTCCTGACTTGGTGCATCCTGGTTCAAATCTACCTTTCAAACATTCTTCAGAAGGTGGTGATTTGCGATCCAGAAAAAAAAAATTGACTTTTTCTGTTAAAGAGCTATAACAGCATGGGGTGCATGTGTCAGGGCTGATTAGCAAACCAAGATGGATGTAGAAGAGCAAACACCTTCACCCCCTTCTTGCACAACCCTGATCCAAATGAGGTCACCTTTGGCTGTAATTCAGCAATCAGAATCTCATCTGTTCTGAACATTTACACGGGATTGTAAAGAAGAAAGAGTTATACAATTGGTTGTTCTGAGGACTAAAGAGTTATTCAGGTCTGGCTTTGGATGTCCTGTTGTGTTCTTGAGCCACTCCCCTTCCACTACGCACAAAGCTGGCACAGAAGTTAGTCTGGGTAGCTCAGCTCCCTGTATAGCTCTGCCTACACAATACCATTTTTTCACCATGGGTTGTTGTTCAGTGAGTCATACTCCAGGCTTAACTGTGACTTTTTGGAAAAGGTGCTGATTTAATTACAGACCAGAAACGATATGTTCAAGAGACAAGTTGATGGGGAGTGGGAGGGGACAGTGGCATATCCTAAACATTTCACTGCCTCCTGTAGAAAGGCTGATAGTGCCACAGAATTCCTGGCAGACCCACACTTTGAACCTTGGTACATTCTTATTTATTACTTCCTAGATTATGTTTGCTGTAATACATTTCAGTGAAGGTAACTGGGTGGATTAGCAACATCGACCATTCCCGTCCCCTCAGCTACACTGCATTATACAAGTTCTTAAGTGTACTTCTCCACCCTAATTTGGCTCTGCCGCCAAAAAACTTGATAATACTGCACCTGAGTATCAACCCATTTAATGCCATCCGGAGTGTGATCCACTCGGCCATAGAAGTGTACGGGGAGCATGTACTCTGGGCGGGCTTTTTCCCAAGGATTGCCATAACGTAGCCAATCATCAGCTTCTTCCACCTTACAAAAAAGGAGAGGCAGAATGTGCTTTAGTTAGCAAGTGATCTTCACACAAAGGGTTTCCAGCTCTGCCAAATGCAGAGATCTTTTCCAGCCCATTAACATTCAATGGTAATTTTAAAAAGTGTGGCTAAACTCTTCCACGATGAGGATTTTATAACCTGGACTCTACTCAAGGTAGCTCCACTGCATGGAGACTCACCACTACCGTGCCAATGGGCCTCAGGAACATCCGAAGATGGGACAAATACTTTTTCACAATGGAAGCAACCCACAGGGCAAGTTCCTTTATATACCAAGAACTTACCACAAGGATGCCATCATTGGACTTCCTCCTCATATTAAATGCCAGTCCCCAGGCCAACTGTGTGGCAGGCCAGCATCCTTTCCCTTGCTCTGCCAGATGCCCTTGTGGGCTGTTACTTGTTTTGCCCTTCAGGGGTTCACAACAGCCCCCCATCTATATCCCACACCATATCATTAAAAAATGGCACCTAGAGTAGGGAAAACAGATAAGGAGAAAAGCAGAATAATGGTTGGGAAGCAGGCATAGGCCCAAAAAGGCCTACACAACCTAGATGCCAGGTGCAGTCTTTTAAAGCTCTCCAGGAACACTAGGGAGAAGTCAACTGTGGGTGATCTTGCCCATTCCTCTCTGCAGCCTCTTGTCCACTGCACCCCGCACAGGTGTGAGACGCACTTTGATGGAAGAGGAGTCCACTGTAGAAGGGGGGGGGGGAAGAAGCTGTGGCTGCTTCAAATCTCTTTAAATTTCCTCCTAAGGTAAGAGACTTTGCTGGTGCCCATGTTACCGGATGGTAACTTTAGCAAGCTGTGGGGGCTTTCAGATCTGTTGAGGAAGAACCCCCTCATCAGTGGTTATGTTTTGTTGTTTAGAAAGGGGAGTTTTGGCCTTTCCTGGCAAACTGATGGCATAACTTTCAGAACTGTTGAGGAAGAACCCCCTCGGCAGTGGTTATGTTTTGTTGTTTAGAAAAGGGAGTTTTGGCCTTTCCTGGCAAACTGAATGACCCTCATCGGCTGCACATCCTGTAGGCTTTATCTTCTCTAGTACTTCTCTCTCCTAAGCAGCTTTGTATGCAGAAAGTTCCAGATTTAGTCCCAAATATCTCTGTTTCAAAGGATCTCAGGTAGAGGGGCAAGGAAAGATCCCTGAACTTAGAACTCCTGCCAGTTGGAACAGTGAGTACTGGGCTAAAAGGACTCAGGGTAAAATTGTTCCTATCACAGACCTTCTCAGGTCTTTGATCTTTGTATGGGCACTGCTTGCCCAGTCTCATCAGCCAAGTCTGTAGAGTTCCAGGCTTGGCAGGTACAGTTTCTTCCAAAATGTCCTCACATTTTGCTCCACTGCATGCCCCTCAGGCACCAGGGAGGGCTGGAACATCTTTTTTCAAAAGTGCCCAGACAGCTTCTACCGCGACAGCAAAATGTCTACCTTCACAGCCCTCTCCTGAACATGGTGTCTCTAGGAGCAAATGAAATCCAAGCCAGAAACAGACTAAAAACAAATTACGGTCCTTTCACCAACATACCTGCCAGCCATCAAGAATCTTCTGATTAAAAATGCCAAATTCGTAACGGATGCCATAGCCATAGGCTGCAAGTCCTAGCGTTGCCATAGAGTCCAGAAAGCAAGCTAAAATGACAATGAACCAAATTTTAATTAACAGGCAGATAAGTAGATGTAAAAAAAAAAAGCAGCTATTACCCTTATGACCCTATGTGCTCGTGTTTAAAAGACAGGGAGACAACATGGTACCAGGCCAAAGCAGTAGACAAAAAGCAGCTTTCTTTCACTTTGTGAGAATCTATTTTGAGCACAGCCAGATATTTAAGTAAACCATATTGAAGTAGATATGTATGAAAACATGCCTACATCACAACACATCTCGGTTTCAAACCAGTAGAACTCCCACAGCTTCTCCTACAGAACCCTGGGAAATGTAGTCTGCAGGGGGGAACCATTAGACCTAGTTTACAGAGTTCCCGGCAGTAAAGAATGGATAAGGCAGTTTTATAAGCAACTGTGGCTTTCTTTAATGCACCAAAGGACTCGTTGTTTTTTTACAACAGACTCATACCACTTCCTTATTTGAACATATTAAATTAATATTAATTTTGGCCCGACCAGGGAAAACAAGCTTTTAATTCCACCCCACCCAGATCTCACAAACTCTCCACATTCTGCTTTCAGAGATCCATTGTTCTGTTTGTAACCAAACCCTGCAGAGCTTTTGAAGGAGGGGTGAGGCTGTTAGTGAAGTTGACTGTGATACAGCTAGAGAAGACAAGGCAAACCTCCTGGGTTTCTCTGTTTGGAAGAATCTCCTAGCAGCAATAACTCAAGCACAAAAAGAGTTTTGGAAGAACATTTGTTGCTTATTTCTTTCCAAGCATTTGGGAGTACCCTCCATACAGCTGTTTCCCTTCTAGGCAATTTTCAAGGACAGTGCAAAATTCAGCAACAGAGCTGTATCACTGGGACTACAGTGTTTGTTAAAACATCCCAAGGTTTCTTCCTGTCTTGAGAAAGGAACAAAAACACCTTCTACATGCCCACCTAAATTTGGACTCTGTTTAAAGCATGAGAGAACTTGAATGGAAAAAAAAAGTTATGTCTCTCCCAGTGTTCCCTCTAAGCTGAGTTAGTGTGAGCTAGCTCATAGTTTTTTAGCCTCCGACTCACACATTTTTGTCTTAGCTCAGGAAGGATGACTCCAGAACAAACTAATTTATGCAGTAGCCAAATCACTCACTCACAACTTTAAGGCCAGTAGCTCACAAAGTAGAATTTTTTGCTCACAAGACTCCACAGCTTAGAGGGAGCATTGGTCTCTCCATTTAGTCACAAATTCAACAGAGCTTTTCAACAGACCAAAGCATGGATCTCATAACCACATTGTAAACTGGACTGAGATATAATAACTTGCCCTAGGTGCCAAACAGTCATAAGGATAATACCGAATGATTATACTTAGCATTTATATAACTCATCTCAAGGATTCAAAGTGATAGCCACATGTTTTATGGTGATATGGTATGGTGAGAGCCACGTATTTTAATATTTTATATTTGTTATTTGTTTTGGGGTTGTTTTTTAACTTATCAGTTTTAATGTTGTAAGCCGCCACAAGACCCTTTGGGTGAATGGCGACTAAAAATGTCAAATAAATACATAAATAAAGCGCCTACAGCTTTTAAGAACATTTGTGTCCCACCCTTCTGCTGAATAAAAAACAGCCCTCTAGGCAGCCAACAATATAAAAATCTAAGGGAATTATATATCCAAATATAAAACAAAAAGACCACATTAGAATACACAGAATAAAACATAGCAGCAGAAGCAAAATAAAGCAGCAGCAATTCAGGTAACAAAAATGAACAAGAAATAGCATGGAAACCACAAATAAGATTGCTCCCCAGCAGGGAAAAAAAATGAAATAATGAAGGGCAGGAAGTAGACTTAAAACAAAATAAGGTTAAAGTATAAAATCATTAAAGGACTTCCAGAACAAATCAGGTTTCACAGCTTCCAAAGGGCTTAAATGAGGGGCATGTGGTAAACTTCCTGGGGTAAACTGGGACCAACACTGAAAATGCCCTGCTCCACATTGCAGCCAGCCTGGCCTTCTGTACCGAGGGGGCACAGCACAGGGCACTAGATAATACTCTCAAACCACAGGAAGTCTGGCATTAAGTATGGAGGTGAGAGACCTAGGCCCATTACAGATGCACATCTTACTGCAGATTTTCAGAGCAGTAAGCCTTTAAGCTTGACTTAGGATTCTGTGCCCACCTTATGCACCATTCTTTTCCCTCTGGTGTATTTATTCTGCAGCTACAATTTTAAAAATGCACTTTTCTAAATCGGGGTGGAACATCACTTGTGACGTGTGTGTGGGGGTCCAAAGTTTTTAAAAATAATAAGCAATTGCCCTATTGCAGCTGTGCAGCAGCATCCAGCAAGCGGCATCCATTTAAATCCTTGTGGACCAGGTTATGCGCATGCATTTTAGTGTTACTCCATTGAATGAGAGGAAAGAGAAAGGAACCCAGGCAAAGGGGAGAAACCTGATGTTGAAACTGACCAGACTTTTTTCAAACTGACAAGAAGCTGCAAAGCCCCATTTTCCTATCCAAGCACTAGGGGATTCTCTGCTGTGTTATCGGCCACTGTGAAAAACAGGAAAGAGTTACACGATCTCATAATATGGGGAAACGTTGAGTGTACAGAGTGCACAGTAGAACCCACTGACACTAGCATTGCAAGCTGTGATCGTTGGCAACGTGTGTGTGTGCGCGCCTGTGCAAAGTCAGCTGCAACTCCACCATGCTTTCCACAGAGCTGCCGTTTGTATGGGGAAGTCCTCTGGCAGAAGCTCTGGAGAGATTTTGTTTTAGTCTTCTGCCACTCAATTGAAAGGTTTTTTGATATTTTCACTGATGCCCTAGCGCAGCTGCATTGTAATGCCAATTTCCTGCCCTTCCTTGCAAATTTGCGTGGTTTTCTCTTTGTGAATCTCTAATTTAATCCTGTACACTGGTCTTGATCTTGGCAGTTTTTTTAGAGCCTATCCTGTGCAGATGGCACTCTGTCCTCCAAACAGATTGATCCCAAGCAATTATTCAGTGGTTTGTAAAAGTTCCATGTGGCTCAGCCGCCATTTTAATGTTAGGCTTCCAGAGACTACCAAAATGGTTCACCCTCCCCCAAACTTTATTCAGTAAAGCACTAAAAAGAAAAATATTTTCAAAGCTGTAGGCTTCCCATCCCAGTGTATCTCTCTCTTTCCGTTTTATGTCAATTTCATTCCATGCTGACAATCCCCCCTCCTTTATTTTGTTTGCATGTAGCACTGAGATCCTTTCAAAACCCCTTTTCAAATCAATACCGGCAGGGAACTAAACCTCACACAGCTCCTTTTAAACCCCCCATTGTTTTAATTCTTTTAAATTCAGCGATCCAAGACTAGTGATAGTCTCATATTGTTACACTCACGCCGCTTGTTTAAAAAATTTAAAACAAGGGGGAAATGAAGCTTGTACACCAATGAAGGGGGGAGGATGGCACGGTGGACAGAATGACCTCAATGTGGCCTTCAAAGGGCAGCAAAAGGGGAAGGGGAAAATCCAAGGGAATCTGTATGCTTTTGAATTACCTCCAGCTTGGAAGTGAAATAAGGGGAAAATCGGCACAAAGTACTCTCAGAAAACCCGGGGAAACAGCAACCAGAAAGCAAACTGAGTGCTGAAGGGAGGAAAATCAATGCAGAACAACAACAAAAAACTCAACAGATGTGCACAGTGAAAGCAAGGGAGAACGCCCATGCATAATAGGCCTTGGATTCCTGCTCATGTTAAGCCTTGAAACTCAAGGATATTTATGTATCCCATCCCACCACAGTTCTCTTGATGTGAAACAGCCCTGGAGGGCATTATTTGCCCCACTGGGGAAACCTAGGTGTATGCCATTAGTGCATGTAGAATACCCAATGGGGCAAAAAGCAGCCCCCAGGACCCTTCAGGTTGGCAAAATGACATAGGACAGAAGACTGAAGCCCGTGAGCCACAGTGCTGATGTAAATTGGGCCTGCACATATCTCGATTTAGATCCCACCACAAAATTTAAAATACACGCTTGATTGCATGAACTCAGAAAGGACCCCGGGGTGTGTGTGTGTATATATATATATATTTTCCCCAGACTCATTTCTAGGACACACTCTTGTTCTGACTGCTCCCAAGGTAACTTACCAATAATTATGAAAAACCAGTATCAAAACAATTTAATAATTCAGGATTGCAGACAAAAAACTGAAGCAATGGACACCTAGTGAGTTTATGACTTGGGATGAGTTCTAACCAATCATTTTCCCAGTCCATATCTCTTACGTTTGCTGCTGTATCAGTTCTAGTGGAAACTAGCCTGCCTGAGGTCCAGTGAAATCAGAATAACATAAACGTACATTTAATTACATAATGATACCAGCAGGACTTCAGAGTACTCAATTTTCTCTGAATATCACTCTCTGCATATTGCAACACACTGATCTTTCTGAACAGCAAAACAGTACGGGCCAAAATCACCACTCACCTGCTAGACGCCCCAGACCTCCGTTGCCAAGGCCAGCGTCTTCTTCAATCTCTTCCAGCTCTTCCAGGTCCAACCCAAGCTATTGTGAAAAGCAAACAAAGCACAATATTACTGTTCATCTCATCACTTAGCGGAGTTCCAAAACAGCTTAATTCCTGAAAAACTCCCCTAGAGAAATCTATTGTACTCTATTAATAATACTGCCTTTTTACTGGAGTGGGATCTATGTTAATCAATAGATTTAATCAGGGGATTTAACGTGCTATCATAAACTAAGTCCTTTGAAGCTGATGTGTTTAGAAGGGTGTTGCAGCTTAGAATGGCACTCAAGCTATAGTTGTTCAATTAGTGGAAGACTGTAAATGGTGGCAACAAATTTTACTCCATGGGCTGAGTTATGCACACAACTATTTATTTTTTTAACTACTTTGCTACTCTGCTTTTTCCACAGGCAATGAAAATATTAAAAACAGACTTCTATTAATGAAAGGTAAGCTTTCATTTCTTGAACTGTTAAGTTAGACCACACTTCAGAGAAATAACAGATGAAACAAACACACATAAAATCAGACACATCTAAGGCAGCCAACACTTCATTTTTATGGGAGACAAAAACTTTCCTTGTCCGTGTTTTCTTTTGGGAAGTTGGCTAAATAATATTTCAGACAGTAGCTGTGTTGATCTGTAGTTGAACAGTCAGATTCAAGTCCAGTAGCTCCTTACAGACCAACAAGATTTCTGAGGTACAAGATTTCAAGAGTCACCCTCAGAGCTTTGACTAACAAAAGCTTATAGCCTGGTTCCGGTTTGTCGACTTGCAAGTGGGTGCGCTCCATCATTGCTCTGATGTGAGCGGCCCGCAAACGTGCCGATGGGGAGGGGTCCAAGTTGATCTTAGAAAAGCAATAAAAATGTTTACCAAAAAAAGTTTATAGCCTGAAAATCTTGTTAGTCTCTGAGGTGCTACTGGACAAAAATCTATAGCTGGCTAAGTAATCATGAGACTCCAAGTGAATGTCTGTCCCAAGACCAACCAGTAAACTTTGCCACTGAGCTGGGATTTGAACCTGGATCTTCCTACTGCATATTCAACATTATCCATTCTGGATCAGACTGCTACGGGGGGTGTTGTTGTTGTTGTTCAGTCGCACAGTCGAGTCTGACTCTTCGCGACCCCATGGACCAGCTCCCGCCAGGCCCTCCTGTCTGGAGGTACGGGGGGTGGGGGGAGTATTTAATATATTGTAAGGCTTATACCATTTGGCATTCTTTAGACAGGGGGTGGGGGAGAAACAGACACCAATCCGGGTACTCCCAGTATTGGAATGCAAGGTATATGCAGATGCAGTGCAAATAAAGACGTTTTAAAAACAGGGTCTACATTGCTTACTTAATTTGATTATTGCCTCTTTTTTCTCCTGATATGTTATAGCAGTATCAGCCAGCAGACTAGAAATAACCAAATAATAATAATAATAATGGTTACAGAATCAACTGTTTACTGCCATTGCTCCTTCCATCTATTTAAAGTTGCACACTGCCCTTTCTCGTAATTAGTTTGAAATTGAGCTTCACAGACAATGGAGGGACTTGCCTTTATTTTTCCACCGTGAACATCTCCCCCCCAAAAGAATATCCTAGCTTTACCCCTGTCCTGCAAGATAGGTCTGCATCTTCATGAGCTTAGCCACATGTTGCTTTTTCAGACCGTTATCAGATAATTGTCCAGGGCAAAAACATAACAGCAGCTCTACCAAAAGGACTGGAATACATGAGTCATGCTACTTTCAGCAATTAATATTAGAATAAACGTCTCGGACAGGTTAGACTCAAACTAAAGGAGGCTGTAAAACATAACTGGGCTCTCCATGAATATATTTTGATCTCCAGCAACAAGAAACAAAGTAAAGGGAAGAGGGAAGAACAGGCTGACATAAAAAAGAGAGGGGGAGAGAGAAAGGAGGAATTGGCACAGTCTCCCACTGACTGGAGTCAGTTTTGGGGTGATTTTGTCTTGCAATGACATGATTAGGTGTTTTAATCTGTTTTAGTAATTTTTGGATTGTTTTGGTTGCTGTGGCTTTTATAAGCCTCCTTAAACCCCTACTGACAGGTGTGGTAGAAATATTGTAATAAATATATAAAAACTGGGATCAACAGCTAAGATTGTACTAGAAATAAAGAAGGAATTCCATGAATGAGAAGCTATGCTATGGTGCCAGGAAATCACATGCTGAGAGTATTTTGCAAATGTGGTTATGATCAGTTACTGAAAATCTCAAACACTTCCATTCTTAACAGAGTTTGAGTCCAGTCGCACCTTTAAGACCAACGAAGTTTTATTCATGGTATAAGCTTTCATGTGCAAGCACACTTCCTCAAACACAGTGGATCAGAACCAGAGGTCATTTCGGGGGGGATCGCGGGGGATCGCAGTTCCCCCGGGTGAGGTACGGGGGGTGGGGCACATTCCGAAGCCCCGCCCCCTGCTTCCGGCCGCCCCGCTTCCGGCCCTCATTCAGCCAGGAGGCAGGAGAAGAGGGAGGGTAAGTTGCTTCCTCCCTGCCTCTCCCCACCCCTGCCTGCCTGGGGCCAGGGAGAGCCTTCGCGGGGCTTCCTCGCACTCCCGCCGGCCTTGCAGGTCCACCACTGGGCCCCTCATGGGGCTCGGCAGTGGAGCTGCAAGGCCGGTGGCGGCGACCGGGACCAAGTTCCCCTAGCTCTTTTTCTATGAAAGGACCCCTGATCAGAACCTCCTCAGACATTACTTATAGGGGCTGGGGGGGGGTTGTCCTCAGGAAGGACCATTTAGAGTCACGATGCATAAGAACTGGGTGATTACAGCTGAGATTGGATGTAAGAAAAATCTGTGACTGGCAGTAAATTAGCATACAAATACAAGAGTTAACAAACAGATGTGGGAATGAGGTCTGAGTCCAGTAGCACCTACAAGACAAATAAAGTTCAATTCTGGGTACAAGTGAGAGCTGAGAGACTTAGTATGCACACTCATTCAGATTCATTGAAACAGATTTCCTCAAATATTACATATAGGTGTGTGGTGTGGGGGGTGTTAGTTGCCAGGAAGAGCTAACTAGAGTCACGATGTCTAAGTAACTGAGCAATAAATACAGCTAAGATTGGAATGACACATTAGGTAAGACATGTAAATAGCAGTAAGTTGGTATACAGATAATAAAAGAGTTGAAAACAGATGTGGGAACCAAGTTTGAGTCCAGTGGCACCTATAAGACCACAAAATTTGATTTCTGGGTATAAGTGAGAATTTAGTGACTTAGTCTGTGTAGTGAGATAAGAAGCTGGTATCTCTGTTAAGTAAAGGGGATTCCATTGTTCTGATTGTGGTAATAATTTGTAATTCAGCAATCTCCCGTTCCCGTCTGTTTCTGAAGTCCATTTGCAATAAAACAGCTGCTTTGAGATCCCCTGTTGAGTGTCCTGGAAGGCTGAAGTGTTCTCCTACAGGTTTATCAGTCTTGTGATTCTTGATGTCAGATTTGTGTCCATTTATCCTCTGGCATAGGGTTTGACCTGTTTGTCCTCTGTGGAGAACTGAAGGGCATTGTTGGCATTTAATAGCATACACAATATTGGAAGATGAGCAAGTGAGTAAGTCTGAGATGGTTGTAGTTGATGTTGTTATGTCCAGTGCCTGGGTGCATATGGCAGCAAAGCTGCCATCTGGGTTTATTGCAAGCTCTGGTACCAGTGTCCATCTTCAAATTAGAAGTTGTATTATTGTGGGTGTGGAGTTGTTTGAGATTGGGGGACTGTCTGTGTGCAAGAAAAGTCCCCCCCCCCCCAGTGCTTGTGAAAAAGAACTGTCTTTATCCAGTAGAGGTTGTACTTCCATGTTTACCTTTCCCAAAACAGAGAGTATACTCATGAAGGGCAGCACAGAAACATTTTCTGTTGCAAGTATATGGACTGGGAAGCAACTGTAAGTACCAACTGTCCAAACTGCTCATACAGGAATACAAATACACTACTGTTCTTCATACATTACAAAATATGTATTTCATCCTAAATCAGTGATTCACACCAGTTAGGTGTAAGGATGGCACTGGGCTAAACATTAGAGTGAAATTAATAGTGAATTCTTCCAGTTGGCTCAGTACTGAGTAAAAAACAAGAAGTAACTTAATGAACCAATTAGTAGCCAGGAAGTCTTGGAGCAAATAAGGAAAATAAAGAGAAATAAAGCTCCAGGCCTAAATGATTTCAGTGCAAAATATTATAAAATTGTTCAGTCTTCCCCCATATTAATAGTTGTAACTAACAAAAGCATGTAGAGTAATATCATTCTGAAACTCTTAATACATAAGACAGGTAATGATTTATCACGTATGGGAGCCACTGAGTTCCGGCCACGGCGAAGCAAATGACGGTCGCACTCTCGGGACTCTCCCAGAGGCGATTCGCCCATGCGTGGTTGGGGGGGAATCCGCATAAGCAGAGACCCTAGGGAGCCTTAGTGTAAAGGCTCCAGACCAGGGGGTGCACCGGGGAGTTGCCTCTTTGCCGACCCGACGGTCGGGAAATTGAGGCTTTCCCCATGCCCCAGAGGCCCCGCCGCGTTGTGCCCTGAGAGGACCTAGCTACGCCACCGGACTTACCAGAGTGATGGAGCGATGAGGCGATTACAAGAGACAGAAAAAATTGCTGAAAACTGTGAGTGGATGATCGAAAAACTTTAAGAGCGTTTCCTTCCCCCTCGGAGAAAGCGCAGGAAGGAGGGCGGGCTGCCCCCCACACTATAAAACGAGACTGTGTTTGATTGCGAGAAGAAGGGGGGAGTGAAAATTGAAAACAGTAAAGTTACTTTTTGGGAAATTTATTAAAGCAAAGGAGAGGAATTCGTTCCCAAGCCACGCGGCACGGACTTTTAAAAAGTAAACAAAAAAGTCAAGATGTCAGGGCCAAAAAGAGACAAGGAGAAGAAGAAGCAAGGGAAGAGGCAGCCGTGAACTTCCGGTCCTAGCCCCGCCTTTCTGAGTCAGCTGTCACTCAACAAGAAAGGGAGATGTTGCGCCCTCTGCTGGATCAAATGTAGAAAATCATCCAAATGTTAGTAAGCATAGAGAGTGTTCTCAGCAGTCAACAGACACAATTGACAGATACAGCTAAGAAGATGGAGGAGATTGCAAAGAAATGTCTGGTATCAACAGAAGAGACACAAAAAATCAAGAAGAAGGTCAATAAAATGGAAAAAACCCCAAGAAGTACAAGACAACAAGTTACCGATGCTACAAATGGAAAAATCAAACTTAACTCTCCGATTTCAAGGAATCCAGGAGGTTGAGAAGGAAGATCTCAGAAGCATATTAGCGGATGCTTTGGCGCCACTGATGGGCAGAGAAGCGGATAAGTTAAGCGAAGAGATTGATTTGGCCTATAGAGCCTATTCCAACTTTACTAAGAAAAATAATCTGCCAGCTGAAGTGGTTGTTAAATTTACCAAACAACGCATCAGAGATCAAATTTTAAAAGCGACATCAGCAACGCCCTTGAAGGTTGGAGAACAGACTATAAGGATTTTAAAAGATGTACCATTTGAAATTCGTCAGAAGCGGAAGGCTTATAAAGGACTGACCACATTCTTGCAAAACCATCAAATTAATTACAGATGGTTGATTCCAGAAGGACTTGTCTTTAAATTTAAAGACAAAAGAGAAAAGATAGACTCCATTTTCAAAGCACAAGACTTTTTGAAGAGACACGCCAGTTCAGAGGACGAAGTAGAACTTGCTAAATGGAAGGTATTTAGCAGTGAAGAAGACAGCGGCCCAGAGGAAGGGGACAGGGAACCGGAGGAAGGAGGAGCGTCAGGAGGAGTTCCCTACAACTTGAGAGACAAAAAAGGCAAACACCCCAACTGAAGATTTTTTGAAAGCGCTTTAAAGGACAATACTAATAATAACCCAAAAGGACATTACTAATATAGTTAACGTCTTTATTTTTTACAGGTAAAGAAGAAAGAAGATCGGTCATTCACAGAAGAAGCTATAGAATGTATTAATACTAACAAAAGATTCAATCATCACTCACCCACTATTCTTAATCCCTCTATATACCCTCCCTTTTTTCTGAAAATCTTAAAAGCAATAAAATTCTCTCCTTTTGAGGAGAGTTTAAAAAAAAAAACAATGTATGGGAGCCACCAAGCTTATACAATTGCCTAACACAGACCATATCATTCTGGCACAACTATTAGCACTGAGAATGCATCATTATCAGTAACTATATTCATGCTGATCAAACAGGTTTTATAATATTCGTGAATGATAACTATAATTGACAATGCAACATTACATGAAGTCCCAACAGCCTTATTTTTTATGGACACTGAGAATTAATTTTGATATGGTAGAGTGGCCTTTGGCATGCAATCTTGTACATGGGTAGAAAAAGAAGAGCTGGTTTTTATACCTCTCTTTTCTCTGCCTTATGGAGTCTCAAAGCAGCTTACAATCCCCTTCCTTTCACAACAGGCACCTTGTGAGGTAGGTGGGGCTGAGAGAGTTCTGAGAGAACTGTGACTGGGCCCAAGATCACCCAACAGGCTATACATGGAGGAGCAGGGAATCAAACCCAGTTCTCCAGATTAGAGTCCTGTGGCTCTTAATCACTACACCACGCTGGCTCTGGTACATATGTTCTACAAAGTACCATATGTGAGGATTATGACTAATGGAAGTTTACCAAAGGAACTTAAGTTAACACATAGAACTTGTCAGCGTTGTCCACTGCCTCTATTTTTACTCACATTAACTCTTTGGAACTGCTACTAGAACAAATCTGGAAAAATATTTCTGTGCAGGAAGAGATAAAATTTGCTGGGATTTAATTTATTGTTTAGTAAATTTACTTTCAATCTTTTATGCAACATTATGCAGACAAAAACAGATAAATATTATAAAAAAGCAGGAAAGAGGACTTTGCATAAATTCAAATTTTCCTTTTCCTGTTTTTGCATCCTGAGGCTGGTTACGTGAACAAAAGTTATACTTCCTTTCTATGCTGATGACACTGGGATGGATCCAAACAGCTTTTCTGCTAATGAAAAAAGGGAGGAAGGGTCTCCCATAACCACCCAAAAAGGTTATGCTGGGGAAAATGGGCCCTGTACAAACAATCAATGCCAGACCAGGGGCTGTAATAAGAAGTGGAGTTGGGTGAGATTGAGTAGAAAAGCTGGCTGGATCTACCCCACTGCGGCTCCAAAACAAATGGCCTCCAGAACATTCTGTTGCATTGTCAACAACTGTATGCAGGTTTCCCCCTGATTATAAAGTGACTATGGATAGATCTCAAACTGAATGCAAATTTTAAACTTGTATGAAAATGAAATAATAAAGCTCTAAGATATCTGGGAATCAAATACAATCACAATCCAATATTAGCTTAAAATAAAACAAATTTAGAATGATGAGATAAGCTAAGATTGTCTTGCAGTTCAGTCCCAAGCAGAGTTACACCCTTCAAAGCCAACCTAAATTCAGTGGACGCAGGACAGGTGTAACTCTGCTTAGGACTGCACCATTGGCCTGGCCTAGAATACTGATAATTGCTGTGTTTATAATGTCTAAGTTCTCCCCATTCTCCCTTGCTACCTTGAATGCTTGGAACCAACCCACAGAACACCTACATCAGGGGTCCCCAACATGGTGTCCATGGCACCCACCGACACCTTTCCTGGTGCCTACGATGTGTTTCCAGAAAGTGGGTGGGGCCAAGCTTCTGATTGGCCATTGGATATTTGATTGGCTGTGCAGACTTTAAAAAATGTTGCTTTGGCAGCAGTTGCCACCACAGCACATGGATCGTCACCGTGCGATTGAAAGTAAGCTGTGGCAGCCATTTTATGGCTGCCTCCATCTCCTGGGGCAGCCATTTTGTGGCTGTGCCCACCACACTGTGACAGAATTCCAAAGCTGCCCCCAAAAAGTTTGGGAACCCCTGACCAACATGATGCCAACTCTCTCACTTTCTTCAACTGCCCCCCTCAAAACTCATCTTCCCCACGAATCTTTTAGAATAATTCCTTAGCCCCTTTCCCCTAGAGAAGCTAAGCCTGAGTACTGAACCAAGGCCCCGGTCACACGGGCCGGATATCGTGGGGGGGAGGCATGGCTAATTGCCCCAGCGCAATTTGATCTGCAATTACGCGATCAGACCCGCCGGCGGCACACCACGGGTCCTTCCCTTGGTGCCGGCAGGTAAACGAGGGACCGGAGGGGAATGCCGCGCGCCGGTGCAATCACACCACGGGAGTCTGGAGGCAGCCCGTGGCAAACGTTTACTAGTACTTTGGAGGTACTAATTTTTTAACACGCATTTTCGGCGGTAAGCCACGGGTGCGCTCCACTTCCCAGATGTTGGGGTGTGATCACGCCTGGATAATCCGCCCACCATCCGTGCCTCTTGTGTGACCGAGGCCCAAATGTGTCATTTTCCCTTTCTTATCCCCATGTCCACCTTGCTCCTCTCCATTCGCTGCCTACCTTGTCGCAAATTCCACACAGTAAGTTCCTTGGGACCTTCCACAGACTCTGTCAAGCAGCATGCATACTGATGGCAGCAGATGAAAAACAGTATCATCCTCACTGTGCTTTAGACTACATCATATCAGTTTTGCTTTTGCAAGGGAACTCTCTTAGGTGCTGAACAGGTTTTCTTTTTAATTGGCTCCACTGCTTTCTGCGCCCTGCAGTTACTCTTGGATGGTTTCCACATACCGTGCACTGTAGCCTGCAGGCTCAGAAACCAGCTGGAACCAGACGTTAGAATACACATGAGTCATATCATTTAGTTCACAGACACCATGAGGGCCAGAAGCTCACTTGAAGAAGAAGAAAAAATTCTGCATTTTTTTTACTTATGTGTGCAACCTATCTTGTCTGAGTCAAACCACACATAGTGTTCGATAAAGCCACCTATCAGCAGCGAATCACCAGTGGAGATTCCTTGATTCCCCTTTGGCAAGTTATTCCACTGTTTTTCTTACAACCTCGTCCTAACATCTGACCTAAATTAACCTGCTGCAACATGAGAAGTCCCCCAGGCATCTTGCCACCATTTTTTGCATTACAGCAGGAACAGAACAAAGGAATCCATAAACAGCAATGTCAAGCAAAGCTTTAAGGGAAAACATACCTGGTAAATTGCTTCGTCACAGGCATTCTGCAAACCCAGGTTCACCATCGTGTTCTGAAGTGTTCGGCCCATGTAGAATTCCAAAGACAGGTAATAAATGCGCTAGGAGGAAAGTTGTGGAAAAAAGCAATTAGATTTGACAGGCAATGCAAAGATTCTTGCCTTGATCCACAATGACACAGCTCAGATACAGCAAGTTGGGATAACGGTGATGTTACCATACATGTTCATTCTAGAGATGAGGGAAAGGTTGTCTGTGTATTCCACAATGATGCACTAGCACAGAAAAAAAGCACTGCATGTGGCTTTGGGTGGAGGACTCACCCCCATCCAGATAATCTCAAGCTTTCATTTTTTAAAAAATGTAACTTTAATGTATAGGAATAATGCACAATAAAACCCCAGTAGCCAGAAGATTGACAATAAAGTTTCCAGTCATCAGGAGGTGGGGCTGCAACTACAGAAGTCATGACTTGTATAAGCAGAACAGATTATGCAAAACAAAACAAAAGCCCCTGTATGTTTGCAGCCTGCAAAATTTGTTATTTCAGCACAGAACTTCTATTTTTAGTACAGAAAACACTTGGATCAAGGCTGATGTTATATACTAAGGGGAGATGAGCTCCTTAGTACTGTAGTGACCAATACAAAAGCTGTGCCAGATGGCACAGTGAGACTGGTGAGGTGAAACAGAGGTCAATGTGGGTGAGGGAACTCCACCAACAGTGATCTCCCTAGATGGGAAATGCTGGCACATGAAAAAGATGCCATAAACAGGCACATGAAAAAGATGCACTGTAAGTGGGAACCTGCCCCCCAAAATCCCCAAGGAAGTTCAGCTCTCCCCTCCCTTCATGAACCTATTTGTAGCCAAGAGGCAGCCCTCTCCTCACTGCTGAAAGGCCTTTGGGTGGCCAAGAGAATATGAGTCCAGCAGCCCGCAGTCCACTGAGCCCAATTTCCTCTCTCCTTGCAACCCCTGACCCAATGAAGGAGGACAAGCATCTGCCTACTGCCTTTGCTGCTAGAGTTATTCCCTAGCAACATAGGGGACGTTCATGTGTACAATCCATGCCTGATGCAGTTCTGAAAGTCTGGAGGGAGCAGTGAGGTGGGGGGGGGTGTCTGACCAGCCCCCTGCTATTTTTCTACAAATACAGAAAACCCAACATATCATCTCTTTCCTGCTTTGCATTGGCTGATGTATGAAACTTTCAGGTTAAATATAGATCAGAAAATACAAATCAATATAGGGTAAAATTGGAGCTACAGCGCAGGAAAGCAGCATAAAAACAGAAAAACCTAGTGGTTACTTATCAGAACGTATAGCCATAGCACTAAGAAGAAACCTTGCTACCATTTCTGTTATTTCCATATCTGGATTATCAAGTAAAAACAGAACCTTAACATCGTCAGGAATCTCTGGGAATTGAGCTAATATAGGGTACAAAAGATCCTGGCTGAGCACCAGATAAAAGGGACATTGAAGGAGAACATGGGGGACAGTTTCAACACAGTCCTTCATACAAGGACAGCACCTGCTGGAGTAGGGGATCCCCTGGAATCTGCCAGAGAGAAGAGCAGAAGGAAAAACATTAAATCTGGCCAAGGAGATGGCTCTGCGCAAATTTGGAGCTATAAGCTGATAAAGATATACAGCTGGAAGATTTGCATTTGGAACAATCCCTAAATTTAGGGGAGAACAGGTTCTGTTAGCCAAACAATAGAGAGTTTGCAATTCTGAGCCCAATAAACTAGATTTTATTTTTTTAAAAGCCTCAGGCTCAGAAAGCAAGGATAGAGATTCAAAGGGTAAGTTCAAGGAGCATACTTTCGTTTCAATGTGAGGTAGCCAGGTAGAATTGGCAGATTCAGAAAGTAATTGATACAGATAACTAGAGGGGTCAGAGTTGAAGTGGAGTCGCAGCCAAAATTTAATGGTGTGAATCCATGCCTTAGTAGCCATCAAATTCTGTCCACACTCCAAACATAAGGCAGCATATGGAACACACATGGGTACCCCCATGATCTTTCACAAAAAGGTAGACTGGACACGTTCCACTGAAATGTCAATTGCATCTATCCAGAAGGGTACTCCATACAATAATTGAGCTCCAGTTTTAGCATTAAAAGCTTTGAGTGCAGCTGGCACATATTGGTTTCCACGGTCAGAAAAGTAAAAATGAGGACTTCCGGTTTGGCACGGTGCGGCAACGGGCAGCTTTTGGCTTGTTCCAAGCCGCCCGACCCCTTTTCGCTCCTTTTGGAGCCTCCCAGTTGCCAGGAGAGCCCCGCCAGGAGAGCCCGGAGAGAGGCCTGGAGCAGGGGGATCTGTTATGGCCCCTTCCACAGCTGGCAAATGCAGGGGGATGTCCATTATTGCCCCGAAGCAGGAGCGGCTTGTGGGGTGGAGCATGGATGCCATGTTCTACGCAGCTGCAGCCACCTGTTTTAGCCATGTTTGGATTTAAAACTCTAAGTAATAACACAGAAGAAGAAGCCCAAGAAGCGAATTTGTGAGTACAACTACTTCTAATTTTGAAATAGAGAAGATTGGTGGTGTTATTACCCCAAAAATTGTCTGTTCGAAAAGGAGAGGTTTAGTGGCCAGAAGATGATTGGGAGAGGCAGGAATGTTTTTTGGAGTGTCTGCAACTTTGGAGAACTTTTTCTTGTTTTTTCTTTCCATTGGCATGGACTTATTATGGATAATGCACAGGAAAAATACTATGTATTTTGAATGACTATAAGAACTTGAGTGAACTGAATTGAACTGCGTAATTAAAATGGCGTTGGTAACACAAGAGGAGGAGGAAATGGATGATAATATGCTTGTGGGAGATCTGTCCGTGGAACAGTTCCTGAAGATTTTAAGAGAACAGATTCAAAAGGGTATTGAAAAAGCCTGCGCAAATTTTTTAGAAACAATGCATAATTCACAATTAGAAATAAAGAGGATCAAATCGAAGAGTGCATTGAGTCTCAAACCATGCTAAACAAAGAAGTGTGTGTAAATTCAACAGAAATGACATATAGTTTACAATTGCAAGTAAGGAAAGAGAGAAACGTGGGACAGTTTATTCAGAGGGACGTAGAGACCATAGGATGTTACCGAACGAAAGGGTGCCTCGAACCTCAAGCTACACCGATTAAAGTAAAGGGAAAGAAACCAACAAAGCCTTTCTATTTAAAAACAGAGACACTAAAAAAGAATGTGCAAAGATGTTTCTTTATTGGTCAAGAAAAACCGAAAAAAGAGAGGAAAAAACGTCGTGGTAGGAAAGGACAATAAAAACCTGGAGTTGAGATGGTTGAAAGTTCAAAGAAAGAGACTAGGAAAAAATTTCCACACAATCAAAGAAAGAAGACATGCAGATATGTTACTTCAAAAAAACAGACTATTGACTTATAGGAGACAGATTAAACTATATGAACAGTGTGAAATGTTTGGTACTGCTAATATATGTCTAGTTAGAAAAATTTGACCCTTAAATGCTTGTTATAATAGAATAGTTAATAAAGTAAGGTGGTGATAAGTTATGATTGGGGCTAGTTGGTAGGTGTTTAGACTGAAATGTTTATGTCTTTAGTTTTGGAGTCTTGGAAATTAAGGTGGTGGTGTGTGAAAAATTAAAAGGATACTGAAAGTATTAAATAGTTAAGAATTAAACAAGGGTTAGAGCAGTTAAGAGAGGTTTGTCTCGGGAGAATGAAGTATTTTTAGGATCTCTAAATTCTAAAGGGTGATATTAGTAAAAAAAGTGTGTTTAACTCTAGATCTGTTGAAAAGTAGAAAGTAAATAGTTTCTTCTTTCTTCTATCTTTGTTTGCAATATGGAGATATTGTGGAGAACAACACTGATCTTTGATAGATAAATTAATTTATAAGATCTATGTGAATTTTTTTAAAAAACAGCGCAATTAAAAACTGGTGTTGTTAAGTCATTATAAGTAATGTTAATAGAAGAGTGCACTCAAATGTGGAATACTTTAAATACTTTGGTATAGGAGTTAGTAGGTATTAAGATGTAAGATCTGGCTGCTATTTTTTTTTTGCTTGGCTTGACTGTGTTATGACACAAAATGTAAATTCAATCCATGTATCTGTTGTTGTCGAAGTTTGTGTTAATATGTTTGTCCTGTTATGATTAAAAGCCTAATAAATATATTATAAAAAAAGGAAAAAAAGAAAGTAAAAATGAGAGATTGCTGCAGCACTGACTTTAGCTACATTAATAGCCATTCTGCGGTGATGGGTCCAGGTGGCACTAGAATGAAAGTGGACGCCCAAGTATTTGAAGTGCCTGACCTGTTCAAATTTATTGCCATTAATAGTCCACTTATATAATTTCTGGGAATAGGGACAAACCAATATCATTAATTTTTCATAGTTCAGCTCCAATCTATTAATCACACAGTATTCGTGGCAACAATTTAATAAGCGGTTTAATCCAACATGGGATATAGACAAAAGAACCGTGTCGTCCGTGTATAGCAGCAAGGGAATAAGAGCAGAGCCCAGTCTAGGGCTATGGCCATCAACTAGTGACAGAAAAAGGGCAAAATCATTAAGAAAAAGATTAAACAAGTGGGGGGCTAGAATGCCCCCCTGCTTAACCCCCCTCCCAATAGGGATTTGAGGGGAAAGTCTCCCTGACGGGGTACACCTAACCTGACAGGACTTAGAGGTATAGAGTTTTTTAATAAGAAATAATGACCTCTTATCTAAAGACAGTCCCTCGAGCTTTACCCAAAGAAGCTCTCTTGAAACTGAATCAAAAGCCCCTTTAAAATCCAAAAAAGCAATATACAATTTAGTCCTTTTCCTTCTCACATACTTGTTAAGTGAGTGAGGACTAAGCAGTGGTCCAAAGCTGACTTCCCCTGGCAGAAGCCCACTTGTTCTGGCCCTAAAATTTTATTAGAGGACATCCAGGAGCTGAGCTTTATTTGCAGAAATTTACCATAGAGTTTCCCAATAACAGTTAAAAGACTAATTGGTCTAAAATTAGAGGGATTAAGGTGACAGCCCTTATGATAGATGGGAATAATTATTGCGTTAGTCCAGGCTGCTGGCATCTGGCCAGTCTTATTCACCATAG